CCGCCACAGACGATGTATATGGTGCCCCGACTTTCGAGTGGTACTCTCGAGATGGAAACAATTAAGTCTTAATAAAACCACCACCAAAATGGAGTTGGTCATTCCAAGATCAACAGCATCCTGCATTGTTAAAAGTTCTGTTTATATCTATCAAACATATTATCCAAATATATTATTTTCAGACAATCCTTAAGGTTGTAGGTAGATTGCTTATGCCAAACATTATGAACAATTTGATACCTGAAATTAGCATAAAATTTACAATGTGCTGCTGCACTATAAAAAGGGCAATTTTTTAGTACTAGATGTAATGAAATAATTGAAATCAAGAATTTAGTCATATGTTTAAACATGCTCAACTTGATTCAATATTTTGCTGTAAACTAGACGATTTGGATAAGTTTGTTTTTCCTACATTCATATGTAAAAAAAATTAGAAATACATTATCCAACACATTAAGATATCTCCTTGTACCAAAAAGGCCATTAATTTGCGTTTTATACATGGTTATTTTCATATGCCACACGCTAAAAAGTTTAGACTCTAGAGTAATTATGCTTGTTATTTGGGTTGTATGTGTATGTTCTGAAGCATCGATCAAAATGGTGGTCTTATATGTTATAGCTACATTGGACTATATGGTTGTAATGTAAATGGGCTATTCCAAAAAATAAAGGAGAATGGGGGGCGGAAGAGGTTGGACTGGACAGGGGGGGTGGGTCAAATACCTGGACTGGACAGGGGGGTTGGGTCAAATACCTGGAACGGACAGGGGGGGTTGGGTCAACCAAATCTGGAACGGACAGGGGGGGTGGGTCAAATAAACATGGAACGGACAGGGGGGTTGGGGTCGAAACAAATCTGGAATGGACAGGGGGGTTGGGTAAAACAATTTAACCCGGGTTGGAGCCAGACTGGAATGGTGGGTATTGGGTGTTTTCAGCATTTTTGGATTTTGTCTCTTGGAACAGTCTTAGATGTTTAATTGAAGGTTGGAGAATGATTTTTTTGCTGGATAAAGGACATAATAAATATTTCATACAATCATAAACATATATTCAATATGCATACCACTCTCATATAGTCTACATAAGATGTACATACTGTAGTACAGAGATAGAATTTGCTCTAACTAAGTTAACGCATCTAATTTTCAACTGTCCCACACCTTTCAAAATTAAAGTGACCAAACAGCTAAATCACATGTCAGACCTTATGGACATCAGGTTATGAGTGCCAGGAAGTTTATACTGCCAGACATCTCTGTAAATAGTGATGGTTTGTGCGCTCCTCGAATTAGTCCTGCTATATAGGATAAAGTGCAGATTATAGATTTATTCTTTCTTACATGCAAATATAGATGCAATAGTAGGAAATCTTAATTTAGAAACTAAAAGTCCTTTTCCTTTTCAAAATTTATCTGAAACAACATTTTTACCACAAGTAATTAGTTGGTTACTGTAAAGTTAACAAGCAAGTGTTGTAAAGTAAACAAGTTAATCCAGCATTCTCTTTCAATGGTTTGCATAACAAAAGGATCAGTTGAATTTTAGCCAAACAGTTTCTCTCAGTTGTTATATACCACACTTCAAGGTTAATTTCTTTCCATCTATGAATCACTATAATAACTTCCTAACTTCTTTGTTGATCTAAAAAAAAATATGTCATGCATGGTAAGGTGACGGTGCAGATTGCAACTTGTCTGTAAAATATATTATTTTTGTTTCTTTTTATCTAGTTGCCCTGTAACTATAACTAGTATATAGCTCCTTGGTTCAACTGAATATGGAGTCAACTGCATAGGTTGTTTTGCAAATGCTCTTGTAACTTGTAAAAGAATAAAAACTGTGTTTGATTTTCTTTTCAGTCATTTAGATGATATTGAAGTGCGACTGTAAGTGTGAATCTGAGTGTATTTAACCAACAACGAATCACGTGAACTGGGTATCACTCACTCCTGTCCATTGTTTTGCCCGCTTTGATGAAAACTACAAATCAGGTCTCGAAATTCTCAGGGTGCACCAAAAATTGGAGCTGTACACCCAATCTTTTTCTGAGTGCAGCCAAATATTCTAGTAGCCCGATGTTGAAGAAGAAACCGATAGTGATTCTTCAAAGTCAGAAGAAACTGCCAAGAAGCAAGGCTTTTTGTGTGAGGCTTTTTTAACGCCAGTAATCTTGTTTTATATAAGTGCACCCACATCTTTTATACTACCCAATTGTTTTGCATCGGTGCATCTATTCCCAATAATGAATTTTGAGCCCTGGACAAATGAAATGAAACAAAAAATTGTACAACAAATTTCTTGCAAACTGAAAAGTTTGGGCATACTGTATATCATATATGTGCATGATTTAACAAAGTTCCTTGCATTGTCATGTTGTGTACAGCAGAAAGGAACAGTCTCCCCATGGATAATTCTCACCTTTCTGTCTGGCTTATGATAATAGATGCTCAAGATACTCAGTACCTTGTATGCAAGCAAAGACTGGCCAGAGTCTGAGTGAGTGAATGCATATAGTTCATGTATGCCAAATATACTTGACTAAAATTTCTCAGATAAGACACATTTGTTGTTGCTTTGTTGTTATTTAGTAGCCTCCACCAGGCTTTTCTGTGGGAATACGAATTGTGGCATATAATATATTTTGGTACAAAGGATAATGGCCTGGGGAGTCAGTCTGCAGAAGGTTGTTTCTTTCTGGATACAATCCAGTAACCCTCAGAAGTCAAACCCAAAGGTGGCCAAACTAACCTGGCAAATATTCTCGTAAATAGTTTGGTACTAGTGGTAGAGACTAATTATTTTGGTCTATCATCATTTTAATCTTTTAGTTTACAGACCATCTAAAATTGAACTGCTTTATTGGATAATTATTTTGCATTTGTTAAAAAAACTTTGATTTTCTTAGTACTTTTCAGTATTTTTAGGTTCTTTTCCTATCCAAGGGTTCTAGTCGACTTGTACTAGACTTTTGGTGTACCAGGATTTCAGTTTTCACACAACCAGCTACTGTAACTCATTGAAATGCTAATTACTGGCTCCATGTCCTAATGAGTTCCTATTGTTTGCTCAGACATTGTTGTGTTATCAGATTATGCTAAATTATCTCAGGCCAAAGTCACTTCACTGTCTTCAGTCCAAAATAAAATTCTAGGGTAAAAGTTTAGGACAGTCAGGTTTACACGAAGTCATTTGATTTGCCGAAAAGAATTATAAGTCATGATTTAATTTTAAGAGTACAGTAAACATGTTCTTTACAGCACTGAAGGACTGAAGGTGTGGCCTAAGGCTAGTTGGAATTATTTTCAAAACCAATACTCTGATGCAGTTGAGCAAAACAAGGAGGTTAGAAATAGATTTTTCAAGTTAACCAGCTCCTTGTTTAAAACAAAACCTCCTTTGATTTCCTCAAGTCAAACCCTGAATGCCAAAGGACCTGGAATACTCAGTTTTAACACAACACACTGGCACTGCTTGAACAAACTCCCTACAGGTTCCCATTGTTCTCCCCACCAAACCAGCTAGATTCTTAACTCTGTTGAATTTCTTCATGCACTCAGAGCATCATAGAAATATCACACACTCCCTTCTTTCATAAAAAGACAATGGTATAAAACTGTATATAGATTGTCATACAAGATAATGTCATAAATTTCTACCAAGTCATATTTTTTTCATCCGTGACAGAACTCAGGCAGGGTGAAAAATACCCACTCTCACACTTTTGCCAGACAAGTCATGTTTTCTGAGACTGATGGCCATGGAGACGTCAGGTTGCCTGGCACGCAAGCTTATTATTTTGTCAAGCTTATCTTTTTATAACCCTGATGAAGGTAAGACATCCAGGTGAACAATATTAAAAGACAAATCAAACTCTACTACTGGATAAATTATCACGGAGATTACTTCAAGACATAATAATAATCTATACTATAGGCGCAGCTACAACCCCACTAACTGGAAGGGAGGATTTCCCATAGAACTCTCCAGTACATGCAGTTCCTATGGTGTTGACATGTTGTTGTATTAGTATTACCATAATCTACCTTATCCTCATTTACATAACAATAACAGTGACACTTATGTGTCTTTCACTCTTTGTTTAACTGTTTTTTCTAGTTCCTTCAAGTGTGATTTAGTGCCACTGAAGAAGAGTGAATGTTTCAACTTGAAATGTCCCAAAGTAATCTCTGGAAAATCATGGCCATCCTGTAATGTTTTGCTCAGTCCTAAAAAATTGCACTGTGCATTTCCCGCATTTTCCTCACAGGGCCTCACAGGGAAAATGCACAGTGCAGTTTTTTTGTGCTTTTCTTCATACAATCATAGGATGCTCAAATCCATGGTGGAAGCTTAGTTCAGTTGCCTCATTATGTTGAATGCTGAAGATATTAAACTCCAAACAAGCTAAAGTTGATTTCAATAGTCAACTCATGCACTAACGCTCAAAACACAAAAACGTAGTTGCCTAAATTGAAAAAGGCAGGTACTAGTATATTACTATTATTAGGACAAATCTGGAATGGACAGGGGGGTTGGGTCAAACAAACCTGGAACGAACAGGGGGGTTGGGTCAAACAAATCTGGAACGGACAGGGGGGATGGGTCGAAATAATGAAATTGGACTGGACAGGGGGATGGGTAAAAAAAATTCTGGACTGGACAGGGGGTTGGGCCAAAAGCTGATTTTAGACCTCTTCCACCCCCCCTCCACAGTTATTTTTTGGAACAGCCCAATACATGAAATAAATTCATAAATCACCGGGGAGTCGTGTCCGTATACTATCATGATGTACAGTTTCACATATTTACTGTAGCTTGTCTGCAGCGGAAAAATTAGTGAATACGCCCCCCTCCCCCCTTGACAAATGAAACTCACAGATTTGAAGTGGATTCATCGCTGTACATAACGCAACTGCGCTATAACAGAAAGAATATCTACTCAGTGACATATATGTGATAACGCTCACACCATAAGAGCTGTCTGTACTCACTTGAGAGAAGTTGTTTTGCTGGGCGATTCAAAAATGTCCGTTCAAAACGGCCGCCATCTTGGTTAATGGCAATACGATAAGTAACGCGTTCTGATTGGCTGTTTGTACATACTTACTGTAATTTGCACCAATCGGACGTCGTGTTCTAGAGGCGAAAAGAACTTCGAAGATCACGTTTGCTCGCGAGATTTGACGAGACTTTGAATTTTGGCGGGAAAGTGAGCTGGTTGTTTTGGTTTGTTTAGATCCGCCTGAGGCACCAGGAAAGGTGAGTTTTGGGGTCACCTGGCCGTTGTTTACTACCCGATTTGGTCAGAACACATTGGTGATAACACTAGGGGAAAACTGTCGCCGTTTTGGGGTATGAAAAGCTCTATTAGCTTCAAATCACTTGAACTTATAATTTTTGTGGGTGGGACTGGGAGTGGCCACCATTCCTTTCTAAAATGGATTATAAACAACTAGTCTGGCAGCTCTTTCGTTGAGGAAGACGACAAGGCCAAGGTTGATCTCCTTTTCCAACTTCTTCTGTGGCCCACGTATTTGGAAATCAAGGGGAAGTGTTCGTAACTTTAATAGATGAGCATGCACAGTGACAATGATGCAAAACTAACAGATAATTAAAAAACCTGTCTCAAGTATAATTTGTATAAATTTTCTTACAATTAGTTCTGCCAGACATGACGACACGACAGTTCTTCACCAGTGGTGACAGTGAGGCCTGGACCAAGTGTCACGGTCTGTACAGCAAAGTATTGCAGCTCAAGGTCAGCAAGAGTCAGAAGAAGGCAGACTTAATCAAACTGGACAAATGGTGAGAACTGTTGGATTTTTTTAACCAAATAGTCTAGAAGAATAATCTGTTGATAGAAGATTGTTTGATGTTCATCAGAAACATAGTCTTAATCACGATTTTTTTGCGTTACTTTTATATTCACAGTTTTTGTGGTGACGCCTGTACTGCAAATATCATTACCATGAACACATATTCACTGTTGAGGGCCTGCAAGGGGGGGTCCCAACAATGCTCTACGCTGAATTCGGAAACCTCTCAATTACCCTTTACGATAAATTCCAAGTGGCTACAACACATTACGTAGAATTAAAACGCCGAACACGCTGTACGCAATAATATTAGAGCGGTCCGTCTACGCTCTACGTAGAATTAAAACGGCCGATTACGCTCTACGGAAAAGGGCTTGCGGGCCCCCACTGTTGACTGCTGACAATACATGTAACTTTCCACATGTTTTGCACAGGTTCCAGGAGGAGCTTCCCCAGACCCTGAGTGAGAGGACTGACAAACACATCACTCACGAGGAACTGGCCAAACTCATGAGATGGAAACTCATGGTAACAGCAGAACAGCATTTTATTGTCCTAATTTCCCTCAAACTGTATACTAGTACATTTAGTTAATTCCGAATTGATACATGTGTAAGTTGGTAGTTTATTTTAGTATCCACAATATAGTAGGTAACCCATCATGATGCCATGTGTTGTACTTGTAGAGTACTTGTACATTTGTACCTCTCTACTAGTAGAAGTAGTAGATTTCATTGAAGTAGAAGAAATATGGTGTAGTCATGTAGAATCTTTGTGTTTTTAAAGCTTCGATGATATCATGTTACTGCCAGTGTTAATGTCAGTAGTTAAAATTTGAGATACCGGTACAATGTATATGTCTCTTTAACCTTCTCCCTGCTGTCTAACCCCATTACCAAAAGAGAATTGTTAGCCGAACGGCTACTTCAGTGTGCTAAAGGTTAGAGTGTGTGAAAGTCGAAATGAGTGCTTCCTTCTGTTACAGAGAGGAAAGTTCCGTCCCCGTCTGCAGCAGCTGGTGGAGAGTAACAAGCCTGAGGTTGTTGAGGAGACCAGCAGGAAGGCCTTCAACAAACTCCCCAACATCTCTTCTGCCATCAATGAACTGTCCAAACTCAAGGCTGTGGGACCAGCCACTGCTACAGGTCAGGCTTGTGCTAACTGGTATCTGCTCTGTACCTGTTCTGATGTAGCTGAAGCTAAGCCACTTTTTCAGTAATGCTACAGTCACATTTCTAAGCCCTCTAAATAGTATGACCCAAGAGCTATAGAACTGGAGATGGATACTGCCCTATGCACAGAAAGTAGTTGGAAGGATTATGACTAACTTTTAACTACAATCAAAACTGCCCTAGGAGACCACTCAGGGGACCTGTAAAATCTGGTCTGTGTCGACAGGTGGTCATTATATACAGGATTGTAAGACTTAATGCTTGTTGTCATTTAGAAAATATTCAAAGCCATCACTTTGGACAGGTGATCCTTATGTGGAGGTGGTCATTTGTACAGGTTTGACAACAATTCCATTCCATTTTCCCAATTGTCCACAGCCATCCTGGCCGCTGCTGCTCCAGAGCTGGTGCCCTTCATGGCTGATGAGTCCATGTTGTCCATCCCTGGACTGGGACCGGTACAGTACACTCTGCCTTACTTCCTCAAGTACCTGGACCACATCAAGAAGTGCTGTAAGAGGCTCAACAAGCAAGGTAACAAGATACATGATAAATACATGATGTTTACTTAATTTATCTTGCATATTAAGATCTATACTAGATCTTAATACATGTATGTACTAGTCGGAAAATTACAGATGTGTCTTTACTCTTTCCTTTATTAGACCCAGAAGGCAAGTGGACCCCACATAAAGTGGAGCTGACCCTGTGGACTCATGCTGTAGCTACAGGACTGGATCCCAGTGTCCTGGATTCTACTGGTATGTGTGTTTTAATTGATGAGATTTGGTATACATTGTATACTAGTATTACAATAGGATTTGGTATACATTGTGTACTTACTAGCTATGTATAGAGTGACTACTTTTTAGCAGTCCCATAGATATATATTATTCATTGATGCAAGCATGTCTATAGAGACCATAGACCAGATTTCATCTGTCGCTAGTTCTCTTCTTGGGCAGTTTTGACTGGTAATCTCATCCATTGTTTAAAAGTTACACCAAGCTCCTCCCTGACTATTTGAAATGCTCATTTTAATTTCAGTAGCTGATGCTGCAGACAATGCTGAACCAAAGAGCAAGAAGAGAAAGTCTAGTGGGGAGGGGGAACAGGTAGCCAAGAGGCCCAAAACTGGACAGGAACAGGAGAAGACTAATGGAGAAGCCACCAAAGAGCCAGAAGCTGCATACTTTTAAAGCTCCTTGTCATTTTGGATGTGCTTTAGAAGTTGCAGTTCAGCAGAATTGCCAGTGAAAAAGTACCACCAGCAGATGGTACCAAAGTCATCAAAGATGACATTTGTTTTGCTTCTTATACCCTTTTTCTTTATAATCTCAACCAAAAGATATACCCTACACAGTACACACTTTTAGTTTTTATCTTTTTTACAAAGTATATTTTAGAATACTAGTAATTTGAAAGTGATATAAAGTGTTGGAAGTAAGAAAGAGTTGAATTAAGAAGATTTGTTTGTGAGAGGTTGCTTTTTAAGCAATTTTGTTGCTTTTTGATGGTCTAATTGGCATGCAGGCTCCAATGACAGTTTTATGAAACTGTTGCGTGACAGTTTAAAATGTCTGAAAAGGGACAGTAATCTACCTTTTGAACATGTATGATATCGGTTGGTTTGAAACATCACCAATAGTACTAGTTGATTTACAACCTATCTCTTACAGTTGTGGTCCAAGACTGCAACTATTGGGGATATCAAAACTAATGCAGTAAGGATCTAAAACATAATTATACTTATGATATCACAATCGCATAATTTTTACTAGTATTTACTTGTATTATCTATGATATAATCCTGTTGGAAGTTAAACACTTTGTTCCAACACACACAGGAAAATGGGGCTTAGCCAAGTATTTGACTTTGTGAGGGATAGCATGTGTCATTACAGGTGGTATGTTACTGTGGCACCTAGAATGACTCCAAGTTAAGCCTGTATTATCTCTCAACAGTGACTTGGAGCAACAGTGAAGATTTAAGGTGAGCCCCCTTTCTGTACATGTTAGAACAACAGTTACTTTCTACAATATAATTTAACTGTGCAGATGTTTAATATGTATGATATAACCTTGCTGAATAATGAGGCTTTGCCATAACTTGTCTATTGTTGCTATAATTGCAGAAGTCATGATGACTTGGTTTGTATTGAGACATTTCCTATCAATGGCATGAATGGCACACTTCAGATACTCAGGTGGTCAAAACATTCTTGAGAAGGCCTTGACAACACTGATAAGTCAATGTTATCATATGAGTTGAGAACATATGTGAAATTTTACATCAAGCCTTACAATGGAAAATTTGTTTCATGCTATGTAGTGCTGGTTTAAAAGCCTTCAATACTACATACATGTAATTTGGTGAGTAAATCTTTTTTAATTTAAATCCCATCCTGTGATTTCAATCACAGCCTGATTTTAAAAGATGATGAAATTATTGAAAAGTGTGCAATGATTATAGAATTGTGACCAACAGGTAACAAGTCACCAAAACCATGTTTAAGAGAAATAAAGTTTATGATGATCACTGAAAAAGGAATATTCCTGTCGTCTTTTTTTAAGGCATGTATATTTCTTATTTATACCAGATTAAAATCCCTCATTGGATTCTTGGCTATGGTTTGTGTTTTATGTATCAAATACAAGTCTCATTGATTGTGAGCTCTAAACTGCATGTTGTTCAAATGCTGGCCTGACTGCACTAGTCACATAATTTGTGACCAATTGCTTTCTAACCTGGGAAGTTAGGCGTCTCAAAAAGCTGGGGATCTATAAACCATATACACATGTACCCTCACCAAAAATGACAAAAAAGAACAACACACATGTACATGTAATTGTAAAAACAACAGAAGTATTATTCAACCAACAAAGAAAGTGGCACAAAAGCAGAACTTTGCACCCGTGATCAAACACTGCTATTTCAAAACTTTCTCCCTATCCAGTATCTTGGTTACAACCTCCGACTATTGCTTAATCGCCAGCCCTCCCACAAAAAAAGTAAACAAAGGTAGAGTCGAATTACGAAGGATATATAGAAACAACAGTGCACTGCGCAGGTCAGAGCGTCAGCCAATGACATTGCCCATTCAGGAAGACAGGTCGCAAAGTGAGACAAAACCAAGAAATTGAGGAACAGTCAGCGCCAATTCGTCTGGGGAGTTTTGACTGTACGTGAAAGTGATTGACCAAAAGCAGGTATGACGCATGATAGACATATATATTTTAAATTTATAGAGACCAACTGATGTGGCATTGGCATATGACGTAGATACTAATATCGAGACTGAAGGTTGAATAGGCGAGTATGTAAGGCAAGCAGGCATACCGATGTAACTCTGTGGCACATGGCCCAACAACCATACAACAGGTGTGTTACAGGCCGAGATTTGTAACTTTAGAATTTCAGTCTTTCGACTGTGAATGCTACTATGCAATCTACTTTCCTCAAACAGGCAGTTCTATTGGGGCCTCACAAGCAAAATGTGATAGTCAATTTGTTTTTTTGATCCCCCAAGGTTTGCTGGGGAATTCCAGTGACGTATTGTCTGGGCGTTCCATTGTTTAGAGCAATGCGTCAGTCTAAATAAAGACATGACGCAACGAAACTAGTTGCTGCTCAGTTTCACTGATCACGGCTAGCTGATTCTCACGCACTTCGGGCAAGATATTGTATTCATGGATATACCAATCTCTCAAAAGTCGTGAGTGTTACGGTACGTGGCCTCACATTGGTTGCAGCTGCAGAGTGGCGCTTGGTTAGTACTAGTTGAGGAATCGTGTACCAGCCGGCTACACAAGGACGGTTATGTGTAATACCAGTGAAACGACTCAGGTACGCATCTACCTTTTACGAATTGAAATAATTGTATCCAGATATAAGTGTGTGGGACTAAGGTGTTGGATTAGTAGTACGTAGAATCATTATATACCATTCCTCAATTCATTCTGTACTCATTGTTCTCGTCAATATCTATTTGCAATTAAGCCTGGGGCATGAACTTGCAACTCTATTACGTCACAGGCGCAGGGGCGTGCTTGAAACATTATTGACCACTGAATCGTCGTTTGCGTAGGACGGGCTTCCGACAGGGTTTGGCGTGGTAACACATCGGTAGTAGTTAACCTGGAATGCAATTCTGATTATGAACTTTTGTCGCCCATATGTTGCGAGGCCAAAGCTACCGCACCCAGTTTGGCAAAGGTGTGTCCTGGAATGTTATTGACTCCATAAGGTTGTCAATTTCTTGTTTTCCACCCAGGTGTGCCTTTCTATTTTGAAGGATTCGGCGATGACTATAATAGACTATACGAAAGGGTGCCTCGTAAACTTGTAATGAAAGGATCACGATCATCAAAGCCGAGACTGACATCCAGATTTAAAAAATTCTTCCACCCAGATAATCGATATAAACTAGAGTTCAGCGATCTCATAACTCAACCAAAGGGTCAACATAACGTGTCCTAAATCTCCATCATGTACCATTGGTGTATCGTATACGAAAGTAGAAGTTTCTAATTAATCATACAAATAAGCATAAATTTTATCTAGGAGACCACAGAGACCACTTAAGGCATACACGGTATCTTACACGGTGTCAAAATTTCGTTTCCACTCAGACATCCTAGCGGTCACGGTAAGATCTCACCACCAAGAAACGACGGCGAAGCAAAGTTATGGTGGTAAATCATAACTCATATCGATCTCCCTGTTCCGATTCTGTAAATAGTTTTATTCTGTGCAACTTTCCTTCCGTTATGTTTTATTTTTCACTATGTTAATTTCGTATGATTTATATCATAATTTAGCATCTGCTATTTTGGTTTCATATGCTATCAAATCTTATTTCATTACCTCCAGTATAAACTGTATTCTGATTCTATATTATTATTTATATTTCATTTTGCTCGTCGGACCTCTCCCACCCCGATTTTGAGTTGCATTATTATACTAGCTATCTATATCTATATATCAAATGAATATAATGTTGTATAACTTGTGGCATAATTGGTTTCTATTATTTGGATTATTACAGTGATTTTGAGTGTCTTAAGCTTCTGTTACTTCTTTTGTATAATGTAGTACATTCCGTTGCCATATTTTGTATTATTTTAGTGGACTGCAGGAAGACTAGTGATTGTGTTCACTAATTAATGGAGATCTCAACCAACCAAACCAAACCAAACATGAAATACCGTGAACTGTGCCTGTGTCTAACACATATTGTTTCTGAACATACAGATTTGAAGCAGTAAGGACGTCTACTGTATAATTATGGACTGGACCGTCGTCATCGACTTTTTAATTAATGGGTTGTTCTTCGTGGTGATAATGGGGAAAAAGTATCTTCTCCCATCATTGACACCCAACAGTCACACTCCTCAAGGCGCTAGCCCAAGACGCCATTCTTCATCACAGAGACGACAAAGAAAGCTGGAGATAGAAGGGTGGTTGCAACAATTTCGGTAAGTCCCTTTTCTACGTACGTGCAGCAAAGTGCAATTATTAGTTCAAATAAGCCCTGTAATACAATGAAAGCAGGTGTAAAGGCGTACCCAAATAGAAATAATAGTAAGCTATGCGAAACAAGTTAGCTTTGAAATCCATCTTTCTCACCGCAGTCGGTTCTGACTAAGCCCCTCTCAAATAAAGAAAGACATGACATTTTTTTTCTTCTGATCAGAAGAATGGGATAATTAGAAAAACGTCACGATTTCCCTCTGATCATTGCCGACCGGCCGCTCTTTTGTTGACGGAAAGAAGTAATGGACGCGAGACTCGGCAGGGTAAATATTGATACAACCCACTGAAACTAGTGTCGAATTACCAGGTTCAGTACTTACTATCACGTAGGCCAGTCTTGCACAGTCCTGAGTTGGATTTTGTGAAAATCTCTGTATAATTGATTGATACGTGCATTCATGGTTTAAATTATGTTCCCCTAGTTGTATTGACTACCTGTATGTGACAGAATTTGTAAATATTGTAGTGCAAAGGTTGTGTGGAAGACGAAATGCACTTAATCTCAAACTGCTCGTTTCATAACAACGCTCGAAATGAGTCCACTGTTCAAACTTCTGCAATTCATCCCAATTTCCCAAAACTTATAGAAAAACTATTCTTCTTTTCACTTCCCAAAACCCACAATTTTTAAAGGTGGGACATTATGTCTTCCATGGTTTACAAAAGAGAAGTCAAACCATTCCGGTATAGTTTAAGACATAGTTTTAGACAACCACCTTTCATAATGTAGATTTTGAAGTTATTTTTCAATGTTATTTTTTGTTTGTAACTTGCAATTAGCCCTCGGGCATGGATTTGCAATAAACGTCTTGTTGATTACAAAAACAAAGGAAATCAAAATGTAGCTATATGCTCCTTTGGAGATCAATTTGTTACCAAGGGTATGTAGATGAAAGAAATAGTGTACCGCTGTTCTCTTCTTCCTGCAGCTTATCAGGGCTGTGTCTAGAACCAGACATCTTAAAAGTAAGCTCCAGTTACATATTTTGTTTGTGTGCATGTGTGTGTGTGTGTGTTTGTGTGTGTGTGTGTGTGTGTGTGTGTGTGTGTGTGTGTGTGTGTGTGTGTGTGTGTGTGTGTGTGTGTGTGTGTGTGTGTGTGTGTGTGTGAGAGAGAGAGAGATTGTGAGTCTGAGAGTGTGTGTGTTTGAGTGATTGTGAGTGTGTGTGTGTGTGTGTGTGTGTGTGTGTGTGTGTGTGTGTGTGAGAGAGAGAGAGATTGTGAGTCTGAGAGTGTGTGTGTTTGAGTGATTGTGAGTGTGTGTGTGTGTGAGTGTGTGTGTGTGAATGTGTATGTGTGTGCTACAAACACATTTGCTTAAACAATGGTAATTACGTTGAGTTATTTCTTCGACGATTGTTTGGAAAAGGATTGTGACAGGTGGAAGTACATGTAAACATAAATGTTGCTGTAACAGTTGTTGTTGTGTTGTCTCCAGATACAATGGTACACCACTACCATGCGGGTAGTTCTAGCCTAGTATATATACAGCTGACTAGGATCGTTGATATAAAAAATGGAAAAACAGTAGACATCAGTAATCTTTATGAAGTAAAGACTACACTTTAACTGTCAACACTATAATGAATTGGGACTTACCCCGATGGTAAGTTGTAGTGTTCATTGTAGTGTTGGTAGTTAAAGTCTAGTCTTTATTTCATAATGACTTGTACCAACACAGATGAAGTTTCATGATCAGTAATTCTTGTCGATTCATTTTGTCTCAGAGATACCTCCTGGATAAACTCAAGAGGGATTTGAAAGCGGAAGGTCGTGACTGCTATGACGAGTCAGACTTCACGTCAGCATTTTCTTACTTCTCACAATGTTTGGAGGTCTCTCGGGTGTTGCACAACGATGGCTTCTACAGTTGCACAGGAGGTTTCAACAGGAGTGCCATAGACGGGGATTTTGTGCGCAAGGTCTACACCAATAGAGCGGCTTGTTCGTGGAAGCTGGTAAGAATGCGAGCGTCGACGTCTGTTATGATAGTAGGAGTGCCCATTTATGGCGTACAGTATGTTATCCAAAGGCTAGCCTGTGAGTTTCTATATGCACTTTTCATTTCTTTCTTGCAGGATGACTACGAACTGGCCATTCAAGATTGCAACAAAGGTTCCATGCGCTTTTTATTTGTTTGGAATTTGTTTTCTTGTTTGCTTGTTTCTTAACTGACTTAACAGACAGTGCATCATTAAGACACTGACACATTGTGTGTTTTCGTGTTGTCGCAGGTTTACATATATTACTAACCCAACACGCACCGAAAAGTATGTTGTTCCTTGAAAGTTGTTGTTCCTTGAAAGATACGTGCAGTGTGGCATACAATGTCCGCCGTCTAAAGCTACCCATGATGTTTTCTCGGCAGCTCTGGAAATCATACAATCGGCAGTTCTTCCCCTGGAGAGTAGCCAAAAGCCCCTGTACTGGAAGGCTCGTGCACTGAAGGCACGCGGCCTTTACTCAGAAGCATGGCACACTGCAGAAGAGTGCAGACAGATAGCTTCCTCGGTAAGATGATCTTTACGTTTTTGCACTGATGAAACATTTGTAATTGTATATCATTTTTCGTCATTAGATGCCTAACCGTTTGTCTTTTCATATATCTATCTATCTATACGCCTATCTTTTCCACACATAAGAAAAGTAAATGTTGGACACTTTTATGTCAGACTAATATCGCATTATGATAATCAATTGCCTAAACAAATGTAGAACTAGAAAGGCCAATATTTGCTTTGGAGCAAATACAGCGATGGGTTCACCACATTTTACGACATGGCAGGGAAAGAATGGGAAACACAAGGGAAAACAATGATTTACATTGATATAACTATAATATGAAGTAAAATACAACTAAAACAACAGTTGGATAGCTATTCCCTACTTAATTGGTTAGGATTTTTAATTGCATAATGCAAACTGTTGATTTTCAAAATAAAAAAAAACGTCCATGCCCGGCATTCCACTGCTGGAGCAGGAAAGCTTGAAATACCTACCAAAACACTTGAATACAGACATACTGTCAGTATGGAAATGCTTCTGTGCAGGTGTTAATCAAGTTAAATCCCAACAGCCAATCAGCAAGAAGTATAGAGGAAAGCTGCATGCCTATTGGTTGATGCCCTGCATTCCATTGTGATGACTCATGTCCAAACGTGGTAAACAAGGCACCCTAACACAGTAATACATTTGCTATAACACAGCCAAAAAACTCAAATAAAACCATTCTAAAAGCCTGTATCACAATAATTTAAAAAACGCCTAGGGGTATTTGCCCACTGTACCTCCATACCAAATTTCAGGACCTTGGGCCCTAAAATGAAGAAGCTGAATCCATTTAAAAAATGGCAGGAGGAGAAGGAGGAGGAGGAGAAGAAGAAGAAGAAACATCAGAAAAAGCAATATGGTTTCACCACACCACTTCGTGGTGTGGTGAACCCATAATAAATCGTCCTTTGGAATAGTCACCAATGAGATGCTTGCTATTTTCTACGAGAAAACGTTGATGAAAAGGTTTTAGACCAAACACCTCAGCTACGTATACTTTGCGTTTAAAACGCCTAAAACACATCCCATGGAATTTGCATGGTTTTAGATATAAGAGGAGGGACACTCTCCTAACAGTTTATGCACTGTCGATTAACCCGGAGCTATGAATAAAACATGGCACTTCAATTATGTTTCAGGATTCACCTATACACGCACTGATGAACGAAATCCGTCCTCTGCTTCCACCCTATGGAAATTCTGAACAAACATCTGGAAATACAAGTAACTCGGTACGTCTGACATTTGAATGTCGTATTTAGCTATCTGCTATACCTGCAGTTAAGTGAAAACAACAACAGTTTCAGAAATAAGCTGTGAAAAATTGCTAGTGTATAATAAATTAATTCTCTCTTCCCAGACAAATTTTAAGACTAAGAAGCAACAGTTAAAAGAAGAGCAGAGGAGGAGACAAAAGGTATGGACATTTTCAATATTAGTACTTGTACTCTCTGCTTCTTTTATATCATCATTGCAGTTTTGAAGTAGCAGAGCATTAATATTTATAATTGACATTTGTGGCTTGTGTAATTAGATATTTGTTATTTGTGAAAAACTAAGTAAGCTAAATAATCTTATAATATCATGGGATGAGCATATATGATGTCTTCAGGAAATGGAGGAGATTGCCTGCGACCTCGAGGAAAAGGCAGAAAAGGAAGCCTTGAGGCAGGAAAAGGAAAAACAGGTGAGCATTAGCATTATAATTAATTTTTTGTATGTTGCTATATGTCATAAGGCAACAACCAGATAATGACAATAGTCATAAGTATTTATATTCCCTTGTGTAAAGTTAACATCACGACACAGTTTTAAGACTGTTATAATTTTGCAAGTTGTGCATCTCATTATATCATTGTGCATGTAAAATATAGTTTGATAACCCATGTTCTGCTTATCGCTTTCTTTTGCAGAAAGCCTTTGGGCGAGACAAATTAAAACTTCGAACTGAGGTTTTTGTGCGGCACAAATCGTTGACAGTTGACAGCGGCATGGGAGAAAACTTTGATGCAGACTTCGGCAACAATGAAAACACGAAGGCGAAAATCAAAGAAGATAGGAAAAGGGGGAAGAAGAAGCTTAATGGCGAGAGAGAGGAAGGAAAGCGTGATGAGGACTCAAAAATCGAGAGTAAACACGGCTTGCATGAGATCAAGCCTAACGGCGACCTTGCCGGCAGAACCACCAACTCTTGTCCTCCAATAGAGCCTACTGATGAGGTTGTTGCCAATCTGCGCAGAGGTGTTTATGACTACAAGCTAGCGTGCGATATCTGCTATCCTAGAGACGAGAACAAGCACGGTGCAGGAGCGCACTCTTACGTACAAAATAAGAAGCACACCTGCGGCGAAAACGTTCTCCTCGCCCGAAAGAAGAACACCCGTGGCGCATTTAAGAAAGTCCGTCCGCGTCCGCAGCACGCTAACGCTTTCTTCGGAAAGTACAAGCTTTGCCAAAAGTTTCAGTCGTCATTGCCGTGCATGCCGACAGAGTCAAGGTACGTAAAGCAGGAATTTTCCGTAAAAATAATTCATAATGCCTGTACAATAACAGATATTCTTAGATAGTTGATCGTTACTAATTCTCTCTTAGTCATATTTATCATAGACCTCGGGTTCAGTTAAGATTGACATCACATGCATCATATATCAAGTTAATAACTCACGGGTATGATGAACTGTTGTTCTCTTGACAGGTGCACCTCCACCCATAGTGACATAGAAATTGATCTCTGGACGAGAGAGCGCCAAGGAAAGTTCAACCGTGATGAGTTGATGTTTCAGCTCAGCAAACCACTGGACAGCGAAGCTGACGCTGTGCAACAACTGCGAGAGAAACATGGTGGCATCTTCCGATCCATGTGCAAACCCTGCTTTCAAAGTAGCCCTACGGTATGTATTGTAGGTTCCTTTGGGATAAATGTAACAATGTTGTGTTTGGAGTATATTCATATAACAACTTGGACATTGGACAACATTAAGTTGTATTTGCTACATTAGATGGATTGAAGTGAGAGATTTGGTAATGTTTGTTTTGAAGTATTATTATAGAAAGTTCTTTATATGAATTTACAAGTAATGATCAGTTCAACGATGCATTTCAGGTCATCAGTGACTCTTCGGAATGCAGTTCGGAACACCTCCTAGAAGGACAACACCAAGAGGATATTGAACTTCTGGTCCACGCCAGAGAAACGAGTAAAGGAGAGACTCGCTTTACTTCCATATACCCGTTGCCTCACTTCAAAGCGAATTACATCCCGCTATTCTGTAAATTTAGGGATAGGTGTATCAAAAGAGGCGGACGGTGCGGACGGGCGCACAGCCAAGTCGAGATGGACGTTTGGATGCTGGAGAGGAAGTACGGGACGCCACAACGGCAGCTGGTCAACGGCTCAACAGACGCAACCGCCTGCCGGCCAGTGGAAAACGTGGACTGTCAACAACAACAACATGCCAGACCATCATCCCCCGCCTCCCCTCAAGCTTCTCCGCGTACTTCAGGCTTCCCTCTCCTCCGACCGTGGATCAGTCAGTACTACTGTAACCTGTGTCACAAGACCTGTAACGGCAGGGTGACGTTCGACCAGCACTGTTCCTCCGAGGGACATCAGGCCCGCCTCAGGTCAGACGCCAGCGACAACTGGCAGTACCGCCGCCCGCCGTGGATTGGACGAGACGAGGAGTACAGACTATGCAAGGGGTAATGCGTCTTGTTTGTAACTTTTGGTTTTACAATTTATGAATAATTCACTTGTGGTAAATGTATGTGTGTCTTTGTTTAGTTTAATTTTTTTTCAAGTGGTGGAGTTAATACTTGCAGTTTGCTAAGAGTTCGTGAACACTTTGTCCTGTACTCTTTTCATATCTTGGTCAATAAAAAGAAAAGTAATTCCTTGAAAGCACTACAATTAGCCCCCGAAAACCTCATGGACAACATTCTTGATACTTTAAATGATACTTTAAACTAGTATCTATATATACTGAATGAAACATCAGTTATCATTCTTGGCTCCCCCCCCCCCTCTGTAGCCATGCAGCCGGCTCCTGTCAGTACGATGGAGTTGAAGACAGACACAACATCTGTCCGGAAGCGCACAGCCAAGAAGAACTGGACGAGTGGAAGGAGAGACGGCAGCACCGGTGGCTCAACATGGAAATGGCGCGGAAACAGAACCTGTTCTCCTACATGGACAAACTGTGGGACGAGTATGGGAAGACCACAGATGGACCATCAATAGTGAGTAACAGGGCTGTCTTCAAGCACATTTATAGCTCCTGTACTTTGCTTATGGCTGGTCCCCTCCTGTTGTTTTGTACTCGGTACTCGTAAGACGTGACTTATATTTTTATTTCTATCCATCACCAGATTGCAGACTCGCTGGAGGGAGTCAGTATTACCTGTACCCGGGAGGAGAGCGCTCTGTTAGAAACAAAGGGAGAAACGTGCACGTGGACTTTCACTGTGACTTCTAAGGTAAGTTCTGTTTGTTCTTATGTTTATGAATTCTTTTGTTTCCTTGTCTCTATCAACTGTCAGAATTAAAACTGGCGTCTTTTCTCCGTATTTGTCTCTGACATTATTTCTCTCTCTTTCTCTTCATTTTCTCTACCGTACAGTCTCTGCCCTTAGCGGACTTTCAGTCCT